CGTAACGAGAAGAAATAAATGAACCGTTTATTTTGAAAGTAGATTAAGTCCATTAAAAAAATGTTAATCTGTTAACTGTGGAATTTAATTGAAAAAATCTCTGATAATGCTGGCAATGAAATCAAATGATGATGCGTATACTCGTTAAACGCAGGCCAAATGTACCTATAATATATTCTAACGAAAAACTAAAGCAAAACGAAGAATTACATGTTTATCTGAAAAAATAAATGACCGTTGAAGGAATTAGTATCATTTTGATTTTAAGATGACGTGTATACTCGTCGAACACAGTTAATTGGTTAAAAAATATGAAGATAATATAGAATTAGAACCATTATAATCGTTAGCTTGATTTTTTAATAGAGTAATTAAGCCACTTCTAAAATAAATGATTCAAATAAGAGATTTTATAATGAATTTGAGATTATAATGAAGTACATTAGAGATTGATTTATTGTTAGTCTACCAAAACGGAAATTTAATATTTATTATATATAGTTTCAGAATAATGTTTCTAAGAATTTCTGTTATATAGAAATTGATATTATTTCTAGATTTCGTAATCATTAGATTTTATTGTTGTTTCATATATTAACCCTTTGAGTTCCAAGGAGCGATATATCGCTTCTTCATGCACTTGCGAAAAGTTGCTTTTTAATTTTATTAGTAAAAAAGGAAATCTAACATGTTTTTAGTATTTGTTTAAAATTGTCTAGACTTTCTCGAGTATGTATGAAAATTTCCCCTTACACTCAAAGAGTTAAAGAAATGATATGTCGACCAATTGTATAAAATCCTTTGAGAATAGTACTTCTATCACTAAGAGATTGATTATCAGAGGACATACTTAATTGTTATCATTATTTTCAGGTATTATTAGGAATATACATTTGTATGTTATGATCGTATCATAGGAAACTGGAAACACGAATACACTGAATAGAGGATACGATTTTACGATCACTACATTGGTTAGTGGCTTGTCTCTCAATCAGTCTGTCCAGGATAGATCTTCGTCCTTATTGGCTGAGCTGAAGTAAAGCTCAACTGTTATCATCTGCGTTTATAGTATCGTAGGGTTAACGACGTAATTATAATGCTATCGCAGAAAAACCAAATTGTAATTGAACACTTCTGTCGGGGAATATTACATCTCAATCGTGTTTCCTATCCAGCAACTGGGATCAAATCATTTTTAAAATTCAAAATGTGTATATACTAATTATTTCATTACTCATTATCCTTTTTCTTTTAATTTGAAAAAGATGTGTGACTACTTTTATTGTACAGAATGTTACACACTTGTTTGTAAATTTACTGTCATCTATTAGACCATGTTAACTATTACTTCGTGCACATATTTTATATTTGATGCGATTGATTTATTTAATTTTCTGTTCGATTCGTTCATTAAATGGGTTTTTCCCTGTTTAAGGACTTAATCTCCTTTTATCACAGAGTTATTTAACAGAATTATATTCTTAGGAAATTACATTTGATCAAAGCGACACAGACATAGTAAACTATTTTCTGAATACATGCGCGTAGCTGTACCCATGCAATCATTAATGCTAATTCCCGCTTGACTATTGGAGCATCACTTCATCGTAAAACCTTATCGATTAAACGCTCAATCTGCAGGATGCATCAATATTAAGCACTCCTATCCATCCTAGCGACTCGTAGAAAATACGACGACGTGGCCTGTAATAAGTGAATACAATTTATCATCTAACACATTGAACGGCGAAAGATATGCATTGAATTATAATATTTTTCTTATACGCGCAAATAGTGAAGTATTTACTGAATTATGCAAAGGTGAATATTATATACAAAACTTCAGAATTTTTACTGAGAGTCACCTCTTGAGTGCAAAAGGTTAATACTAGAACAACCGAGAGCTGAACATGATTAATATGTAATCATAAAAATTGATTTTTTCGGTATTTTCATATATTAATTATAGCATTGGAATGAAACTATTTATTTACTTTTCACATATCAATAATGTAATGTGTAATAAGAAAACTGAAACCTGCCATTTTGAAGGATGCAGTTGTTCTAGTGTTAAAAACATCAAATACTATTCTAATTTCAAATATGACCACCCGCTTAACATTTTCTATCATCTACTGTCAAATACTCGTACAAACTTATACATAAGAAATCATGACACATCATACTTCTAATCACTTTTAATGCACAACACCCAACGAACCCAATCCACCAAAACACAAATCACAACACGGTTATCCAATCAACGTCAGCCCGTCAAATCCTTTCGACTTCCCCAATTATCTCATTCTCCACGATAAATCATGTATCGAAACCTTCCGAAACGGTCCAAAATCCGCTAACGAATTTCAGTTCCGCCACGGTGCTCTTTTAACACTAAAACTACCGAGCAGTTAAACTGACCTTTTGAAATTTCCCTGTAGAATCTCTAAAAGTTCATCTATTGAAATTTTAATTAATTTACAATTCAGTTTTCGTATCGCTAAACCAATTTCTGTAATAATTTCTCAGAGAAACATTTGTTATCTTTATAATAATTGCAATAAGAAGAAATCAGGAATGGCTCCTTTTGACTCATCTGGTAGTTTTAGTGTTAAAATCACATGTATACTCGTCAAACGCAGTTAACCGGTTAAAAAGAGTCCCCACCCTGTACCGTTGGAAAGTAACTCAATGCCTAACCTGATCTTTAGTTTACACTTTCATATTTTTGATCAGTTGTCTGTAACCACATTGATGAATAGTAAATCACGCAGTAATAAAAAATATTAGGACTCAAGAAAAGAAATCAATAGAAAATTAGACAAGAAAAAATGAAAACTGATCGATCAACCGAATTCCTCAGCCTAGCCATCAAGTGATCTCCCTGCAGTACATGCGGGAAATAGAATCTCAAACTCTCATTGCGACCGGGGCGCGCAGTTAAAGTGTATGTATACGTGAATATCGCTGGTACGGGAAGCGACGGGACAGGTGGAGATGTGTAGGTCCATGGAGCCGGCATCAGTGGAGCGTCTCGGCGTCGGAGGCGCCAGAGCGTCGCGGCGCCACCCCCGGCGCCCGTCATAACGCCGCCAGCGCCCACCTCCTTCGGCTCTCTTCAACCTTTCTCTCTCCCTCTCTCTGTCTCTCTCTCTTTCTCTCCATCCTTCGGCTCTCTGCACGCGTACTCTCTCCTACCTTTCCTTAAACTTCTCCCTCCCTGTGTGTTTGGTCCCTTTACTTTTTATTTATTCTGTCCTTTTATCCGCTCTTTTTTTCCCCCCTCTTTTTCCCCTTAATTTACTCGGACTCTCGCATCTTCTATCCACGCAACCTTTATCTTACGGCTCGTTCGCGGTTGCGGATTCTGCGTACGCTTATCATGGACTAGTTAGATAGCGTTATCGTTTGTTGGATAGTTGGACCGTTTATTGCGCGGATTCTTATGGTTCTTTGATGTGTCGGGGTCGCACCTTTGACGATCGATTTGTTTTTCGTTGGTCAAGGTTGCTTGAGGGCGGTTTTTAGGTAGTTTCGGTTTTTGTGCTGGGCTTGGGCGATGTTTGTGTTTTGGGTTTGTTCTTGTGGTTCGGGTTGTTGGGCTTAGGGGTAATGGAAATTGTTTTTAAGCGGAGCGGGAATGTTAACTGCTTGTCTTGCAACGTGATAGACTCGTGAAGATTTTAAAGAGAATTAGATAAGGATAAATACTGCTTAATTCTTTTGAATTCAAATTAATTATTTCTCTTGGATTATCAATAATTATAGTTTAGGGTGACCGTAGATGTGAAATATGCTTAGAATTTTTCTCTCATTTTAATAAATTATTAGTAGCAAAGTAGTTGCATTGATCATAGTTGAAAAATAAATTATAGGGCAAGGGATTAACAATGAAGCTGTATTCTACTGGGATTTGTAGTGTTTTGCGATTAATACCGAATTTTGATACGCAGTGAATTTTATACTACGTATTCATTCGGTGACAATATTTAGTAAATAAATATCATCATATTACTTTTTTTAATAAAGTCCAAAATCATTGTTACAGGAAATTAATAATGAAGGTATGGAAAATGAAATGCAATAAAACATGAAAGTCTTCAATGCGTAATGCACGTTTCACGCGAGAAGATATAATTGCGAATTCACAAAATTTTTATACGCAAACATTTTTTGCTTTTTGTCGAATTCACTGCGTCCCGTTTTTCTCTCGTAATTGTCCTCTGCCTGTTTTTGGTAGCTATTTGCTTCGGCCTCCTGAAATTCGCGAAGATCTCGGTGGCGCCGTCTCGCCTATTGTCCACCCCCAGCGAAGATGGAGTTTTCTGGCCCCCTGACGTTTCAGCCGATCCGCAAACTCTTGTGCTCGATATTTCTTTGCTGCTTTCATTCTTCTCTCTGTCACGTTCCAGGATGTCGCGTGATGCACAACCCCCGAAATTTTCGTTTATTCCGATGCGCGGTGGATCCCGTGGTTCCTGTTCTTACAAGCACGATTTTCGTGTTCCTTGTCTTCCACTCAGAAATCATTTAACCCCTTAACACTAAACGTATCGACACTTTGTACAGGGTAACGGCACCTAATATGAAACCCCTGACTCGAAAAGCTTGCCAAAACGAGAGATATACATTTTTTTCAATGAAACTTGCGTCAGAACACGAAAAAATGAATTAACATTCATTACAATCATAGCATTTTAAAACTAACTGTCACCAAACTCAATTCCCAACTAAAATTCTCGGTTAAAAAAAACACCACAATAAAATTTGTAATTTGAAGGTCTTGATTAATTGTTACGGTCTAAGAAAGGAGCTGAGAACAAACAAACCACCAAAATCTTCCTTCGCCCCAGTATCTACAAAAACAATTAACATTCACTACAATCGTGACATTCAAAAATTAGCTTTCACCAAACTCAGTTCCCAACGAAAATTCTCTAAACGATAAATAAAAGATAACTCGACAAAAATTATAATCCGAATATCTTCTTGGTTAGTTTTCAGAACCTGAGAGAGAAGCTGAGAACGAACGAGCCACTGTAACGAGTCCACGCACGCGTACACGAGTGAAACGAACCGAACCGAACCGGGCCGGCTTCGGACAGGGACGACGATACCGTAAGTAAAAGAGAGTTGATTCGAGTGGGCCGCTTCCGATCCGCGAATCACAATCATAGCCGGGTCCTCCGACGGGGCGCATCGTAAAACTGCACCTCTTCTCGCGGCTCGTTCCAGCCGCGTCCCCATGAGTCAGACACGAACGTGTCTACCCCGTGCTGCCTGCCTGCCTGTCCGTCATAAACTTCACCCCTCCGTAGTTCCGGACCCGTGCTAGGTCCACAGAATTTATCTTTATTCCGCGAGACACCCGGCCGAACGCGTCCCTACACTCAATATGGAATACTTCTGGCCCATAAGCCCGAAAACGCGATACTTAATTGCGACAAATATGGCCCGTAAAATTTGAATAGGCATCTCGTGATGAGCCGAGGGACGGGGACCGCGGCACACCTTCGCGCCAACCCTTATTTTATTGCTGCCAGTCGGGATGGACTGGCTTCGCAGTCGGGTAGGATTGGACGTTCGGAATTTTCGAACTTGGATTGCTGGGTCACGAAACTTGAATTATTTGGCTGTTCTTGTGGCTTGAGAATGTTCTGTTTCCTTGGGGTTGGCAGTTCCTTGGTGAATGCTGGTGGGTTATAATTGTGTAGCAACGAATATGTAACGGTTACTTATTAGTGGCATGTAAATTTCTGTGGATTTGTACGATATATTAATTCGATAAGTATAATAAATGGGAATTAATTAAATTCAGAATTTTCTCTGCCTCAGTGGTGATATGTTGAAATTGTTTGAAGGGGTCTTTTATTTCTTTGGGGTTGGAGGATGCTTGGTTGAGATGTTGGATACAATTGTGTAGCTACGAATATGTAACGGTTACTAATTAGTGGAATGTGGAGGTTTGTGAATTTATATGAAACATTAATCCAAAGGATTCAGTAAATTAAAATTAATTAAATTGAGTATTGCCTTTGCGTCAATGGTAATATATTGAAATCATTAACAAAGGAATAAAAAAAAGTCGGGAATATGTAATTCTGCTCGGTTGTAATAAGTTAAGCTTAAAAGGCAAAGCTTCTAGGGATAGTGCCGTTGCTTTGAAGTTACCATGAAAGGTATTAAAGAACGATATCTTTTGAGAAAGCAACAAGCGTGGAAATTATACAAATTAATGAAATCGTTCACAAATCAGTCTTAAACCGTTTATGTTTAATATTTTTTCTGATTAAATTGATTGAAGTTCCAAACATAAAAAAATACTGTTATTGTAAGTTACATTGAATTCTGCACTTTAAATATCGTTGAATATGAATCACTCCCTATTGTTCACGAGAAGAGCCCTAAAAACAATGCTAGCCTAATTGGTTAACTTTCAACTTTTCTCAACTTATTTCCGATACTAATCTGTTGCTAATCAGTACAGTCACACGAAACTAATCAAAACTATAAACAGAAGACATAGCTAGAGACTCTTCTCATAAACAATGCATAGTACACAGGAAGACTTTTATTTTGTTTTTCTTTAAATAATATTATTATACCATTATGTAGTTTCAGAAGTGATTTAATAAGATAATACATTGTCTTTCCACATGGCGCTTTCCATAAATCAGCTAAACCTTCCTCAAATGACCCGTCGCGTACGGCAACAAAAGTCGAAGATCACCATTGACTGATTCGACCGTATCTCCGTGAATTATCTTTCTTTCTCTGGTTTGTGGTAATCTACACATCTGTCGAGCTGCAGTCCAACTGCAGTTGCCTTCGTTTACACCGTTCCGCCTGCAACCCCTATTGTCTATTATTTATTTTTGTTTCACTTATATCACATTTAATATTTTCTCGAGAATTTAAACATAAAAGCAAAGTACAAAAGCTACTTAATGAAAATAATTAGTGTGCCTAGCATTTTATTGGAATTAAAAATAAATTTGGAATAATAATCATGAGAAGTTATAATATACTACTTGAAGTAACAATATTTAACTTTTCCTGCATGTTGCAGTTTAATATCTCCTTCATTACATTATAATCTATATATCATTATATGATTTATAGATTCATCCCCTAATCTACTGGGATACTTCTATGAAGCTTTCTATATGAATATTCAAATCTTATTTCGTAATTCATTATATTGATATCCTTCGTAAATCAGGATGGCATTCTTCAAAACATGTGTAAATGGAAATTTATATAACACTAGAACTACCGCGCATTTAACACTATTTCTACCGAAGGTGTCAAAAAGCACCTTTTGAAATTTCGACTTAAAATTATTTTCTCAATTTAATCATTTTTCCTCAATTGAATTTCGGACATTTCCTATAGTTAATTTTATAATCGTTATTGGAAAAGTCGAAAAGTCAATTCAGAATATACGACTAATCTTGCAAAATAATTTTAATTTCTATAAAAATTGTAACACATTATTTTCAGCTTCTCCAAACATTTATTATAGCATTGAAGTGAAACTATTTATTTTCAAGATCATATCGAATATTCAGTGCTTTTAAGATATCAATAATTGTGAAACAAAATAATTTTAATCAGTCATTTTGACTGGTACAGTAATTCTAGTGTTAAAAGAGTCTTCTGCGTAGCACTATACGAGGTGTCACTTTCCTAATATTATGGTAGCCTCTGTTGAACGCTGGACCTACACCTTCCTTTATGGCTCCTTCGGGGTTTCACTGCTTCAGTATGTCGTTACCTTCAAGTACCTATATGAAACTTCGAAACCTTGTTCCCCTTTGAACTTTATTTTTTCTCCACATTCTAAACTTTGTTAAAATTTAACCTGTTTGGTTCTAAATTTCTATTATTAAAATATTAACCCTTTACCCTATGACCCTTTAAAATATTAACCCTATAGTCCAGTTGGTTTAAAAAAATATTGTCTATATCTCATCAGAAAATGTTGAATATTTCTAGTGAAAGACTTTTAAGTGCAATGGGTTAATAATTGTAAAAAAACTAAAGAAAATATGTTCCTGTTTTCCGAAGTTTCAAACTCGATCAATCACAACAAGGTCAGCCATTGTTGGTTTATGGTTGGACGGAAAGTATCATCTAGTTTCCAACCCAAGCAAAGTGTGTTAAACAAGAGAAGGTATTTAGGGTGCTTGTGGGGGGAGGGTGGATAAAATTTTGCATCGAGAGTCGACCATATGGATTTAGGGCGGGTGGTAACTTGGATCGACAGCCGCATTGTCGGCCCGATTAATCGAACGATAAGTTCGACCGTGCACGGAGAGAATGATTGACGCTACCACGATAAGGCTTGATGGCTCCGAAAGGGACAGTCGAATCAAGAAAATAAGAGAGCCATGGAAGGAGAGCGGACAAAAACTGAGAAAAAGGGACACGCGCGGCGGGGTTCCTTAAGCTGTATCCTGACTGAAGCAACTTTTCAGAATGCGAAAAAACTTTAAACTGTAGAGTTTTCATTTTACAGAGTTTTCGAGCGAAAGGTGTAAAAATTTAAATGGACGTAGAATATAAATAGAAATATATTAATGACGAATTGTAGAAACAAGACGCGAAAAGTAAATATTTCAAATTGCAGAGTTTTTGTATTTTCAGTTGTAGAATTCTTTAATTTCAAATATTTATGTTGAATTGTAAAGATAAGATGCGGATGGCAAATATTTCAAATTGGAGAGTTTTTGTATTTGCAGTTGTAGAATTTCTTAATTCAGAACAGGAGGGAATAAAGAAATCTCATGAGTTATCAAGGGTAGACTGTATCTTGAAAAAGTCGCCACGTTTTACCAAATGTTTCTCCAGATTTGTTTATATTTCTGTTGCTAACAACGAATGTAGTAGCTTTGAAATTAAAACGGAACACAAACGTCCCTCAGATTATATTGCTTCAGCGTAGAGATAATGTTTCTGTAAATAGATGCACGTTGGAAAGGTCTTGGAACACATAGCGACACGAGGCAACAAAAAGTTTCTCGATGTTGCTTCAGTGAGGACATAGCTTTAGCCTTGTCCCTAAAGGAAACTGCTTGCTCCTTTTTTTTTCTTTCTCTTTCCCTGGTCCCCATGCTTCTTCGTGTAACAGAATAAACCATATCCACCCTTGTCGTGTTTAGCAATTGTCCGGGACCACCTTGTGGCTCTTTTAACCCTCGCCTGGCGGATGCTGGGTCACTTCAAGCAATAGCTGTTGTTGCATTTATATATTTTTTTATTTCCTAATTTATTCATAACATTATTTACACATGCAATTTTAATACATCCAATTATCGTTGCCCATATAATTTAGGGTAGAATTCCTCTTTAAAAGCTGCGTACAATGTAAATTCTATTATAGGTCAAAATGGCCATCCATCATGTTGGGGTTAAAAATGTTTCGGTGATCTTGCGTTCCAGGTCACTTCAGCAATGTTTTTTTTGTTCGATAATATATGAAAATTGTTGATTTTGGAATAAAAATTATATTATTTGCTATAGAATGTGTTTAAAAATATGTAACAATTGATAATTAAATGTAGATTTTTACAGATTGATATCAAATACGAATTGAAGAACTGTAATAAAATATAAAGTATAAAAGACATAAAATTATTCAAAAGCAGACTTTTATTTAATTCTGATCTTCGCTGAGTAAAGAAAGAAAATTTGATTCTTCGTTCATACAATTTTCATTTTATGATCACTTTATGGTTATTTTTGTGTTCTTTCTATTGAAAAAGAATGAAGAGATCAGTTGGAAAAAAGAATAACGAGTGTCGAAGGCAATTACATTGGAAGTTCTAGGAACACTTAATATTATAGAACATATTCCGAACTTATGCAAAGCATTATGGTAACAGTATCTGAGAATTCCTAAGAACCCGATGACGATTCAATATTTTCTCCCAAGAAGGAGATAAAGCAGTCTTCACTTCATTCATGGAGAATATTACACCGCTTCACGCTTCAATCTTCTCTCTCTCCTCTGGAACTAATTCATTTTTGTCCTGGAAGGGTGAATCATCCCCTGCCTGCCTTGACATCTCGCTGGCTTTCGTCTAAACCACTTAATGAATGAAAGCAAATTTGTG